AGGGATACCCAGCGAGCTGTGCAGCAATGATTGTGGCTATCATGCCAACAGCGGCGATTCAGTTGGAATTGGTATACACGTAGATTAAGCAGCATGCCACTCGGCTTGTTCTAAAGACAAAAGTGGGCAGTTTTGACACATGGATAGGTTAAATTGCACAGAAACTTTAAGTACTCAGACCATACAGAAGTGGTAAAGAGGTCCTATTCATTTTGTGATATGACTTGTGAAGCTTTCCGTGGTGATAGTGAATATACTAATTTAAGGAGAGAGTTTGCGGTGACATCAGTTAGACAGATTGCTTCTAAGAGGACGACCAGAGTGCACTGGCAACAGTGCATAGTCGAAACGTTTAATATACACTCGCCGTTTCTTATCAGAACCTTACCTCTTGCTAAAGAGGTCTGACCACCATTAGTTTATTCATTTATTCTTGCAGATTTCTTCAAAACAATGGCCGTAGCTTCAGTCAAATCCGTGCTGGGTACAATCAGCCGAGGGCACCTGGAATGCCCGATTTGTTGTTGTCGTTACACCGATCCCAAGATACTGGATTGTCTGCACAGCTTCTGCCTGAACTGCCTGGAAGAACTCACCGGCAGACAGCAAGCCAAGGCAGACCATATCACTTGCCCCGTTTGCAGACAGGAAACTGCAGTACCAGACACCGGATTACAAGGTCTGCCCACCTGCTTTTTCCTGAGTTCCCTCGTCGATGAAATCAACAAGCAAGAACGACTTCTTGGAAAGGCGTCTGGAGATCGTCTTACTTGTGAGGAATGTGATGAGGGTCTAGAAGCCGTCTCTCGGTGTGTAGACTGCAATAAAGTCATCTGCATAAAATGTCAAGAAGCCCATGAACGCTTGAAATCCATGAAAAACCACAGGATCGTCAGACAACTAGGACAAATGTGGCCAGAGATTACTCCAGCAGACCTCAGAAAAGATGCAGCTCCGCTATGTACCAAACACAAGAACCAGGAACTGTGCTTCTACTGCGAGACATGCCAGACGTTGGCTTGTGGAAAATGTGCTGCATTAGACCATCGAACAGCAGAGCATGAATACAGGGATGTTGCTGATGCAATTCGGTCTTTTCGTGAAGATGTCGATAAAATTCTGGAGCAATGGGAACAAAGCAAAGAGGAATTCAGAACTGCTGACGACTCATTCCAACATGCAAGAAACAGGTTGGGAATCATGGCCGACCGAGCTTGTAGAGACATTACCGCCAAAGAGGAAGAAGAAATTGCCAAGATTAAAAACAAATCCCGCTTACTAAGAGATAAAGTAAGACAAATCAAAGAACAACGAGACAAGAAGTTTGAGGGGGATCAGAAAAGCAACCGTGACCAGATCAACCGAGCTGAGCAAATCGTAGCGACAGTCAACGACCTGATGCAGCAAGCTGACGACTTTGAGCTTTTAGACCTAAAACCCAAGGTGATGCACAACTTACAATTCCAAAAAGGACTCGAGCTTGGAGAGGTAAAGCATGACCTTTCATTCATCGGGGTCAAATGCCATGATGTCGTGAAGAAGTTAGATATCGGTGAAATACTTCCAGAGGAGAAATGGCAACTGAATTTGGAGTTTGGAAGAGAAGAATGGGAAGATGGAGAAATGCATTGTGTTGCAGACGTTGCTTTTCTGAGTAGTGGCGACATTTCAGCAACAGACACAAAGAAGGAACAGGTAATGATTTTTAATTCAACTGGTGAGTATATAACAATTGTAAGTCGCAGAGAATTAGAAAAACCCCAGGGCATTGCTACGACCTCCGATGACCTGCTTCTGGTGTGTGATGGAAAACACGTGAAAGTGTTCGACTCCAGTCTTGAATTCGTTCGGCAGTTTTCACCGGCACAGGAAGATACGGAAGGTTATGCTGAGAGCGACCTTGGCGGTATCGCCGTGGACAAGGAGAATCGCATTGCTGTAGCAGACTATGGCAGAAAGTTGATATCTCTCCACAACCTGGATGGGTCCTTGATTTCAATCATCGAGCATCACCTGGTTGATTGGGATTTAGCTGTTGGCGTTCAGGAACGGCTTATCTTCACAAACTACGACGAGAATGTATTGATTTGCACGACCTACGCAGGAAAAGAAATATTCACTATTAGCACCTTATTTGACGGGGAACCTGCGCGGCCTTTAGGCGTGTGCTGCGATGAAGCTGGTGATATCTACGTCGTTGTTGATACCATGGCAACTAGAGTTAGTAGAGTCCTTCATTACACAGGTGAAGGCGTTTTCGTCGGGCAGGTGACTTACGGACTTAACTTCCCGGGCGGTTTGACATTTTCTCCCAGCGGAGATCTAGTGGTAGTTGACATGAACTCTGTCCGGATCTATCAGCAGGTGTGAGCTTGATCAGGTTTGATAATTTCATAATTGTGGTCACAGCACTGTGGTCTGAAATTTGAAAGATTATAGATAGGTTTCGCGGTTGTGTCTTTTCACCGACCAAATCAGAGGTAAACTTCGTTTGACACGATTTTTTTTATCACCAAAGAGAGTAAATTAATGTTTCAATGTGAAATTTATTTGTCACTGTTTGGAATAACCTCCTGAGCGTAGTTTAAGCAGCAAATTTCTCAAATCAAATTTTGCTACCAGCAGACTGGATTAAAATATTTGTGGTGCTTCAGTATCATGTGACCTCTACCAAAGACCTGTACTCAGGAAGGGGATCGAGGAACGGACTGTAACCTTTGGGGGGAATGGGAGGTTCGTTTTCTTTTTGTCAAAATTTAAAGCCGGAATATGTTCTGTTTTACGCAATTGGTTTTTTTCTATGAGACGCTCACCAACGGTTTGTACGGACAACACCTTTGAAGAACAGCAACGGATCACAAGGATCAAAAATAAATCTCGCCTGCTCATAGCAAAAGTGGAACAACTAGGAGAAAACAGCAAGAGGAAATTTGAGGAAGTCGAAAACCGCAACTGTGACAAATTGAAGGAAGCTCAACAAGTAGAGACCTGATGCAGCAAGCTGACGAATTTACAATTCCAAGAGGCACTCCAACTGGAACAAGCACAGCATGACCTTTCCTTCATCACTCTGGAATGCCACAATATTGTGAGCGTTTCAGACATCGGTGAGGTACTCGAGCAGGAGGAGTGGAAAGCGTTGGACGTGTTTGGTAAGTTTGAGTTCGCTTCGGACGTTGCTTGTCTAAGCAACGGTGATGTCGTCATAATAGACACAGAAATCATGGAAATTATGATTTTCACCTCGGATGGTCGGGAGTGCACACATGAGACAACTGTTGATAACAAAACTACGAAAACCCTAGGTTATTGCTGTGACCTGCAACGACATGCTTCTGGTGACTGATGGAAACACGTGAAAGTGCTCGACTCCAATATGGAATTAGCTCACCAGTTCCTTCCTATACAGGAAGACGAAGAAGGCTGTGCAGGTTATGGTATCGGTGATATCGCCGTGGACAGGGAAAATCGGATTGTGATAGCACATCCCGGTAGAGGGCTCATAACTCTCCACAACCTGGATGGGTCTTTGATTACAACCATCTCACATGACAAGGTTGGTCTAAGTTTGGCGGTCGGCGTTGAGAATCGCTTGATCTTTATCAATTCCCTGGGATTTTCGCTGACTTGCATTACCTACTCAGGAGATGAACTATTCAGCATCCACACTACACTTGACGGTGAACCTCGAGATCCATCTGATGTTTGCTGTGACGATGCTGGTGACATTTACGTTATCGTTTCTGAATCGATTTGTCATTATTCGCCTGAAGGCGTTCTCATTGGGCGCACAACTGCACATCTTTTGCTTCCCCTTGAATTGACATTCGCTCCGTGCGGGGATCTGGTGGTAGCTGACCAGCTGTCCGTCAAGATCTTGAAATGGGTGTGACAGGGAGGCATTTCTACTTGTAGCTCTGAGCTTAACTGGCAATAACTTAACCCTAAAACAGTCGTGCCCCTTCGTTAAGAACTCGGCCGTCCTACTTTTGACCTTCCCTGCAACCTTGCATGCATGTAAAACACTTATTGTCAGCACAACAGAGTTTAGTGTTTTGATGTTATAGCCATGCTAAGTTCATGGCCACGCGTTTTTCACTCCAGCTACATTGAGCACGTAAACAGAAAAGTTCAAAAACGGTCTTAGAGAAACAATTCATGAACTTATCGTATGTGTACAAAATTGATATCAAACTGGCCGCAAGACGTTACCAGGATCTCTTTTAGGTTCGGTGCATGAAACAAACTGAACTGTGACCATGGAGCATGTCAAGAGGGGTGGATCCATCCCTTCACCCTTTCAGAGGTAAACTGTCTACACCATATTAAACCATTTGTGCAAATTTTATACCTTTCATCCGTTTATGAAAACTGACGTCCCTTTGGAGTTAAGTGTGTTTTAACGAATGGGTTTTAGAATAATTTTAAGACCCTGTTGCTGAGGTTTAGCCTTAGGAATACCTTGCTTAATCAGTAAGAGTTTCATATCATAACGCATTTCCATAAAACAGAAAACTGTAAGTGGAAACATCAGTGCTGCGAGTGGACTATTAAAGATATTCCTCAAAAAATCCGACATTTTTAATATCAATAAACTGTTCAGAAAGTTAATAAGAGGAAGAAGGAGTCGGTAAAGACCTCTTGAAATTGCAATAAGGCTGCAATCCACTAATACTTACGTTTAAGCCGTGTCCGTTGCTGGCTTCTGGGGTTACGGCTAAGTTTATTGTCGGCAGTTGTTTGGTTGTTTTCAATACGGCGTTGCACAATACTGCATGCGCATCCAAGAGTTTGCAAGGCCTTGGCCAATCACAGTGTGCTAAACCTGTCGACTCAATGCGCATTGGGAAGGGTGGACAGATTTCGCGTCTTGTGATTGGTCAATGCGTTGCATAATCATAGATGCACACTACTGGTGTCGTGATTCGCCCATGTTGAATGGAGACCGAAACCAAGCATGTAGGCAACAGGTTCGGATGCAGCTGATGATAGCACGTACCTGCACAAGACGCCTGGTTCCAACAGTCTCTATATTCAACAGTGTCTCCGATGCAGGAGTCTGGGGTATGTACTGAGCCTGCGCACTCCCTAGATCTGTTCCGCCTGCCCTGGCCACATGACGTCGAGCACGGACTCCAGTCGGACCAATCAGACCATTTTGCTGTATACATCATATAAACACAGCAATTTCATTATCATCAATTTACTCGAATGAAATGTCAGTCAATATAAATAAGATGCTTATTTAAAGGGTCGTACGAAGGTACAGAATTGGAGTGTGTAGAAGTGTCGTGCATTCTTTAGATTCAATTCTATTTTGTGTAGTTTTCTTCTTTTGATTTTCCAGAGATTACCAATGCAGTAACAGCTTGTATGTTTGATACTGAAATCGATGGTATGTGACATCATAATCTTGACTGATTTTGCTGCGCACAGTGTAGTAAAGCAGCTTAATTATCATCGATTTACTGGAACATGCCATGTCAGCCAATTATGAGAAAAATAAGGAAGGATGGCGAGGAAGGGGCAATTGCATTATTTGTAGTACTGTTCTGTTGATTCCTTTTATGTCGATTTTCTAGATTAAATTTGACCAATGTAGCAACTAAGTATCTTAGCAACTGAGGTTGATGTTTGTGTGATGTCAGCTGATTTTGTAATGAATCCATTTACCCATCATTCCTTTATATCAATAATATCAATAAGCCACTACGGAAAAAGTCCTTGTAAAGACTCTGGTGCTAAAATCAGCACGTTTTGGTGTTATCAAATGACCACACCAATATAATTAAAGTGTTGAGGGCGTTTAAAGCAACACCAAATAACACCAACATTTTAAAACCAGTGAAAAGTGTTGGTGTTGTCCTCTGATGATACTGGGGTGTTAAACTTGACACCCCAGTTTTTGCAGTTGATGGGTAAGGGCCTTATTGAAGATAGAACTGGGGTATAGTAGTCATGTAGAGCCTTTAGATTTTTCCAGATGAAGCTTTACTAGTATGGCACTTGTATATTGCACACTAGGGTTGATATTATGTGACGTCACTTCAAATTTGAGTCATGCGCAGTTGTCTTTCAAAGGAAACAAATAACAACCAAATAACAATTCATTAATTTTGGCCTTTATCGACAGCGTATAAACATGTGCAAAGAATTAAAAGTTCATTGCAAATTGATGTCAGTCAACACTTAAATAGATAAATAATCTAAAATATGTGGTTCATTATCTGTAAACGGTTTAAGTGAGGTTTTATGTCTGTCATGTTCTCATGTGATAATTGTAAGTTTTGTGACAGCAAGAAGTAACTTGTGGTGTCATGGGCACGACAGACTCTTGTTTAGATGACGTGGGTGTAATTAAAGCCCTAATGTGAACCTATGTGAATGTGAACTGACTGATTGGAACTGATTATAGTGAATATCATTATTACCGAAAATAGGTCACTTGGCAGACATTCCCATTAGAACGTACACAAATTTTACTGTCTCATAATTAAATATTCTCATAATTAAATATTCCCGAATCTGATCTGAACCAAACTTCATATGTTTTCAAGATTTGGACAAAAAAATCGGCCTCCTCCTGGTAGATGGGGCATTAGGGGGACATTGAAATGTCTCCCTAATTACCGATGTCTCCCTAAGGTCGAAAAATTTACCACAAAATGTTTCCCTAATGACCCATTTGTAAGAATTAAAGACAGTCTTCCTGTACTGTGAAAACGTTTGTTTCGTTATACGAACGATATTCATTCTACCATAGGTCCTTGTGATGAAACTCTGTGGAAAAAAGTCAGTTCAATTACCTATTGCGTTCTGGCAGTAGTCTCCCGTCCAGCCGCTGGTGCAGACACACTTGTATCCATGGGGTACCTCACTCGGCAAGCAATAGGCGCCATGCTGGCACGCGTTGCCACAGCACAGGCAAGTTGTTGGTCGCTTTATCTGTCACGAAAATTACACAAAAGAAATTCAAAATCTCTATTTTTTTTTCATTCAAATAAGGGAGTGAATAGGGTCAGCTGCAAGCAAAAGTCAACATCTACGTGCAAGAATGTTACCTCATGAACTACGAATTTACCTCGGTAATAATCGGTGAGGCACGGCCAAGATAGACTACTCCCTTGCTGCTGGCATCCTCAACGAAATCCCTGGGGAATTCGGTCCGAGTAGCCCTGTTCAGCTCGCAGATTCCCCCTGCATGGTGGTAGTTTAGGGAGCGGCACTCGCCGAGGAGAACACACTTCTCCCCGCAGACGGCGAGGCTGGGCACCCTGTCCAGCGTGCGAAGTGTGTGATTGCTCAAATGGAAACCGTCGATCTTGGCGGCATCTGTAGGTCAAACAAAAAGCAGAGATATGTATAAAAAATATATAAATATTTTTCCCGTTACACATACCTTAAGACACCTTTCCGATTTTTCTGGCTGTCAACCTAGCTTTGGTCAAGTAGTTTGACGATAGTGTACTGTAATCTCGGGCTGGTTGCTGAGCTGAGACGGCTGCCGTCACCAGCCAACGCGCACTACCGTTGGACGCCTTGAACAAGGCTTTGTGAACCGGTAAAGTGTGCAAATGTTGCGGCGAGTTTGAGCGAAATGCTGGTTGACTGGATGACTCGTGATCGGCACAGCTACCGTACCATGGACACATTACATTGTGTACGAAAACTTAGGCCTACAGCGTATTGGAACAAAATACCTAACAGCATCAAAGAGGTGTATTACCCCCTGTGAAGTCAGTGATCATAAGTGATGCATGGCTTGCATCCGTCATGACAGACGAGCCCTGAGCTACGGCTACCACGCAGTGGACCAAGACGACCAGTGGCAAGCGCAAAGCCTTCATAATTCTCGTCTATATAGAAACCAGTAGAGTGCCGATTCCCGCAGCTCTGATCAAGTCTGACCCAGGCTTCCAAAGATACGGCTAATTCTCTATTGTCAGCTTGAATTGTCCCCCACGTGTATCCAATGAGCGAAGACACGGAACCAGCTCTGCAAGAATAGACTCAGCTGCAGATTTCGACAGGCTGGAGCTCAGACTGAAGAATATTCACGATCAACCTTCCTAACTCGGCTCCGCGAACGCATCTGACGTGAGGGCAGTTAGGTGCATATGGCCAAAGTCTCCTTGTACAGTCTTTGGTAGCCACGCAGCTCGCAAGCCGTCCTACCTTGAAGAAGAAAAATCTATTTTACGGAGTGACAACCACAGCAGTTTCGCTCACCCGAAGATAATTGGCTACCATGGAAATCAGACACCTGTGAACTGAAACGCTTAATTAAATTAAAACAAACTTAATTAACCGTTGGTATTAGAAGATTAGTGCGTTCGTTCAGTCTGAAGTGTGGTATGCACACGTGAAATGACTTTTCATTGTTTTCTAATGTGTCATTCATTATTACAAAGACGAAGCAGTCAATTTGGCCTTTGATGGCCATGATGTTTTTAATCAGTGAGAATAAATCATGGATGATAAGTACGGAATCACTGAACTTGGGAAATAAAATTAGTGTTTTTACTCGAAACCTGCGCTATTGATCCAAACCTCAGACTACCCCAATTTATCGATGGATTTAACCTGCATAAACAGGGAAGTGTCATGTTAATTACAGGAGAGAAAAGGCTTTAATGATTTTCTGTTCGTGTAACAGTTTTGATTGGTCAGAGCAGGATTTATGTAAGTTCGGTTTATCTTTGTTCAGTATTCATGATTCGAGTGGACCAGAATTACTGGGTTCTGGGGGTCTTGCACGCATCATTTATAAAGCAATAAAACTGGTTTTGATCAGCGAAGATTGTATTGTGTTTAAAACGGCTGCAAATGGAACACATGAATTCGTGTTTATTGAAATCTCTCAGGATGCATATGTCGTTAAACGTTAATGTACATGTATGTGCAAGTACAGATAACAAGGAAAAGACTGCATCTGTCTTGGTCCAACCTGCGGGAACATCACTCGGCCTCCAAGCCATCGTACAGACAAGAGCCACTGCAAACAGGACACCAATTAACAAGAAGCAAAACAGAGTTATCTCTTTACTCACTGAACTAGTCTTTAATTTCTGATTGCACAAAAGAAACCTTTATGGGAACAAAGGAGGGCAAATAAATGTATCGTCTACAGCTTCATCTACTATAAAAGCTGAAAGGTGAAGGTGAATCTGGCTTAAAGTACATGTGCACTAAATCTAGACCAATTTTCGCGATGGTTGGGATGGCTGTAAAGAGGGCATGCCCTAAATTCCCTGCTAACCTCTCTTTGAAGGGAAGAACAGTGTCGCAGCCTGTTGGCGATGTTTATGTTAAACTGAGAAGATACAGTGTGATCGATCGATCTTTTAATAACAACAGTAATGAGGCAGTTCGGTATTCCAACAGCGCATGCCCCAAACGACACGCGTCCGAGGTCATTCTGGAAAACAGCAGCGCGTACGAGTGACTGTTCGTCCTATCAGCGCAGCCATACAGCAACTCGCGCGCGCTTTGTTCCCGAAACACCTTGCCTTTTTGGAATACCGAACTCGGTCATTTTAATACAAGTCACCGAAAGGAATAGACTAAGTGCGACCCGAGCACTGAATAATTATTCCCGTAACCCAATATTACCGCAGCCCGCAATTGCCAAAATTTGTAAGATTTTTGCTAATCATTACAATTATGTATTGCACGGTGCACTATTTACAATCAAGCTGTCTAACTAGATTCGTGAAAGAAAGGTTGAGTGAACTTTAAACACTTGGCGCTACATTTAACTCTGCTGACACAGTACTGATGTCTCCTCTCACTCATTATGCAAGCGGGATTTCTGAAATTCAGCCAAAGGAATACATAACTATAACATCACGATTATCTTTCCGCATAAGGATGCGAGAATTTGAGACGCCGGTGACAGCAGGCATGCCGGTCTTTTTTCAAGGTATTGCGCGTGCTCAGCACTAAGCACGCATGCTCAAAATAACGCGCGCATGCTCAGAACTAATAAAAAGGACGGGTATGTTTGTCGCCACCAAGCGTTTCAAAGTTTCCCATCACTGAAAAGGCTAGCAACAACAGCCATTACTTAAAGTAATAATGTACAGAGGCTCGGGAGGAAATTCAAAGATCAGCCGAAATGGTTTGATTAATCCAAGTCTGCAATAAGTCCAAACGGGATACAGGAAAGGCGGCATTAATGAAAAAAAAAGTATGACAAAAATCAAAACATGGAGACGTTGGTAACTAAAATAACACTAGAACAACAAAGGACACTTTCAAGAACTGCTTGATGGTGAATCATGTTGGAAGACCCAACTGACACGGGACCGTTGTCAAAAGCACCTTTCATGTTCGAGTTGGAAGACAGAATGTGGATAATTAAGGCACGGCAATGAATGCCAAACGAACACAAGTAAAACTTTGAAAAAAGGAAGTATTTGGGAAGAGTCTGGAATACATTTAAAATATTTCTACAAATTAGAAGACGTGGGTAAATTCTGAGGTAACAGTTCTCTTCAAAAGTACAAAACGATTTCTTTTCCAATAAACTTCCAACTTAAGTGATATCGCACAATTTCGAAGTTAGGTGAAACCCTCAAAATAGAACTCTAAGCTTGTACATCAAAAAAAACAAAGTTTAATTCAAAATAAGATGGAAAACCACAAACGATGCCGACCAGGAGAAAACTATTAATTTTTTTTACAACGAAGACCTAACCTTCACACCCTGATATGTACATATTCCATTCGAAACTGTACAGACTTGATAATAACTATCGTTACAAAAATAATGGCTTGCGAGTGAGTCGAGTATTTACACCAGGCCTAAAGAACGGAAAATAAATAACAGTTTACTTAAAATTATTTATTGTATTTACAAATACACGTACACAGTGGGAAAGAAGTCTCAAGCAAAGTGAATCTGGTTGGAAATTGCATACATTGCCTTGTCTTTAGAGGTCCTCTGCTCGTCCCAACAGTCAGTAATGTGTTGATATCTCACTCATGCTAGCCAAAATCGTGGCGTTTTGCTGATCTTATCTTTAAATACTCAATAATTTAAAATGAAGCATAATTGATCGTTCTGCAGACAAATCCACAAGGCTCTGATCAATGAATACGCCATTTTAAAATGTGCAGTAAAATACAATTTTGTTTTGTTTTTTTCTAAAATTCAGACAAAGTGAAAACAGTGCACGGTCAATTAACGGAAGTAATGGCAGTAAAAACGTTTCAATTAACGGAAAAATTCAAAATAAATGTGGGATTAAAAAAAATACATAAATTACAAATTTACAGCCCAGACGGATCTTGTGTGGCGCCCGGGGAATCCTGGGAAATCTGGTTGCCTAGCTACATGCAGCATTTGGAGTCGCTCTTCTTCTGGGCGTCTTTCTCCAAGCTCAGGCCGCTTTGGCTGACCTCCTGGTCCTCCCTCTGCTGCAGCTTCCTGCAAGTTGTCAAGAGAAAGAGAGAGGGACCGATAGAGGGCGCCTGGAGTGCCTCGTGTATACCATGGGTTGTAGCTCTATGTGTATACCATGAGCAAGAAATGACGTGTTGACTCCTACGTTCACAAAAGTGTGGCCGGTGACCAATGGGAAGCTTTGAGACGCTCGGTGGCAGCAAACATACCGACCGTTTGTAGCAGTTCTGAGCATGCGTGACTTGTTCTGAGTATGCGTGCAGTTCTGAGCACGCGCAATACCGTGACTCAGGACCAGTATGTCTGCTGCCACCAGCGTCTCAAAGCCTCTCATTGCATGCCTTGCGCAAGCATGATAGGCAATATTATACCGGTTATGTTTTCCGTCCCTCACTTGAAAAATTTAACAGCAACTGGATATTTATCGTGGAATGGTTAAAAAAAATATAGCATGGTTTAGTTCGGGTGGATAGACGAGTTTGGTCCCCTCAGTATTGGAAGTTGACAAATGTCTCCTTTGGAACTAGTTCAACTTTCATCTTTGGGAAGTAAGAATGATTAGGCTTATCTATCACCAAGCCATGTGACATTTGTTTACCTGCACACGATATGTACTGGCACATGCAGGTCATGTTTTGTTAACGCGTTGCTTTCAGGGGGCGCATGCGTGTACAGGCCTACTGTCTTGATGCGCAAGGACCGCTGGGATTGAGTTCTTACCTCGTGAGATCCGCGACAGCCTCCTCGATGTTGGTCCCGTCCTTGGCGCTGCACTCGATGAACAGCGCACTGAACGACTGTCAAAACGAGTGAAATTAAAAGTACAAGGTAGGCTTAGTCTGTCTTACTTGGTCTGCATGGTTGAGCTTGCTTCTTATGCCGCTCACGTCTACTGAGGGCGCTTTAACAGGTTGGCCAGAAAGTGCGGGTAGCAATTTTGTGCATGGTGCCAAAGCTGTTTATTGAGAGAGTTGCGACATAAGCATCCAAATGATTGGAACCAAAACGGTGGATTATGCGTCAGTGCAACTGGACAATTACCACACAATAGCTGCATGCTGTCTGCACACGCAATGAACAGCCATTTTGGCTCCAAAGTCTGAAGTTGGCACTACTCTTTTACTGTCCTGTAGCGTACTATAGTTCCTGAAGCGACGGCAAACATTTCCTTCATCTTTATGACTAACTATGACGTCACTGGTAAGACCTTTTTCCTAAGGGGCTGATCGGCCTCCCCAGGGAGGAATTAGCGACGACTTACCCTGGCAAGCCTCTGCCCGTCTTCCATGCGCACACACCTGATGCCCTCGGCCTGGGCCGAAGAGCGCGCATCTACCTTGTTGGCGCAAATCATGACTGGAATCGGCTTCTGGGCGCCGTCCTGTGGACAAAATAGCAATACAATTCCGTGAACAAATTACTTCTTACTAATTCTTCCATTTTGTCGTGTCTGAGAGTAAGGAATTTTTTAATAAAACGAAAAGTGTGATTTACCTCGATCGCCTCTATCCAGTCCCTGACATTGATGAAGGACCTCTCGTAGGTGCAGTCGTAGAGTAGCAGGACACCATCTGCACGTCGGAAATAGGACTTGGCGATGCTGCGGAAGCGCTCCTGGCCGGCCGTGTCCCACAGCTGCAGTGACGTCACCTTGTCGTCGATCTCCAAGGTTTTCATCTGGAAGTCGACGCCTGTCGAGCCACAGAGGCGAAAACCGGTCAATTTGATCTATGCTTTTATTTGGAAAAGGTCTCCCTGTCAATATCCTCACATTGAAGACTGTCTCTAGTTGGCTTCATCAAGGATACATAGTCGTCATACCAATACTGTTGGGCAATTCTCGCTGGGGTCATCCTAAAAGATTGGGGTGCATTTTATTTCGTGTTCCTGTCACATCTGACACATGATTTTCGTAAGTTCAGAGCACATTTCATAATTTCCAAGAGTGAAAATTACCTGCAAAACACAGTTTCGAGTCATTTCAAAGATAGTTCATGTCAAATTACACAAGTCAGTCGGGTGCAACGTGGATGTCACACTTTTTGACCCTTTCATACCCGAGGCAATTAAGTTCCAAATTTGAACGGTAACCATGGTGCTGGTGATGGAAACTTTCTGCACAAAGTAAATTTGCTAAGCGGCCCACATTACTCTAGTGTCAGGTTTCTGCTAAATGTCTCGCTTTCGGACTAAGGCGTAGTGGTATTCCTTTAAACACAGTTTGGACACTCTTGTCCAAGTGATAGGCAGGAACTACGCTACTTCTCTGTTGTAAAGTGTGTTGGACCTACACCTGTGTTGACACGTCTCGAGACCTTTGTAGGCGCAGGCACCTATGAAACCCGGAGACGCCTGTACTGAAGCAAGTGCATGATACTGCCATGCTGCATAACCCCGAACCGCACAAGCCCCAAATCATCGTGATGCGCTTATCTAGCCCAGTGTCAGTTGTGCTTCGTACATGGAAAAATAAGACCGCTTCATGGCATTTTATGCAAAAAGCAACTAGCTCTACAGGTTCTAACGGTAGAACCATCTATGTCTAGAGCTTTAATAATTATGCAGGTTGCACAGTGACAAATTATTCTGCGAGTCGAATCTAATTTCTAAGTGGAAAACCGACACCCACTGTATTCTTCCGGTGTGGTTTGTGAGGTATTCTGATCTCACCTGAGGTGATACACAGCTTGATATCTCCTGGCGTCTCCAGTATCACCTCCAGAGGGCACACTGTGTATTTTTTGCATTATTGTCATTTGAAAATTCAATGAAAAGTCTTTCTCCCTCTAGCTATTTGACGATATCCTTTGAAGAATATGTTGACTTTGGAATCGCTTGTACATTGGGTTGAGCAAAACATTCGTTAAGATCTCGTGACCCAGGTTCGAATCTTCATTGATGCAGTCCCATTATTAGTAAGCCTCACATTATGAGTGGGAGAGATTTCATTAGCTATTCTCGGCAAAGGACAAAACAAGATGAGCTACATTGACTAAGTTATCATTTGAAATTACTTTGCCCAAGTTCGGGAAAACACTGACCTTTGTCAGGTCCAGTTTTATTTGTCAAATCATGATCAGATCTATTTTTAATCATTATCTAATTGACCTCTAACATCCGGAGCCAGAAAGCGCTTCCATCCTCTTTCAAATCCAGCAACCTGTCATGACAATTTCCATGACCTGATGTCCAACCAATACGGGCGATTCGCAATAGTGCGCCACCAAGAGTTTGCAACACGTTGGCCGATCATAACGCGCG